CGAAAGGGGGACGCCTGCTCAAGGAAGCGTGGCTTTCGGACAGGGATTCAATTAATCGGCACATCGATCTCTGTCCAGCGCACTTAGCGCTGAGGGCATGGAGTGTGGGCAGCAACCCTCCATCCCGCTGGAAGCGCCGTAACAACGGACCGGAGAGGCCAGCAGAACCAATGGAGAAAGCCGCAGGAAGAGCATCTCCTCCCCCCCAACCACCCCCAGGCACCCGGGCACAACGAGGATTACAGGCAGAGGATTCCATCGCCAGGAAAGGTATGCGCCCCCGAAGAACGCAGGGATCGACAATGAGGGAGGGTGTAGGAGTGATGACCGACTTACCAGGAGTCTCCTCCCCCCTCCCCCCAAGGCACCGGAGCAAGGCGGCACCCCCCAATGAAGGAACAACATCGGAATCGAGTCGCCGGGCACTCTCAGCTGGAGCCGGCGGCACTCGTGCGGAGAGCATGCGGAATGGACCGGCCAAGACCGGGTCGTGCGGGGACGACAGGACGGAGGCCGATAGGAAGGAGGGGGGGCCCGGAATGATAGTCACTCGATCGCGCACAAGAAAGGAGGGGTGATCCTGCCGAGCCGACCCACAGTGGCGACCCGACCACCCCACCCTGCAGCTCCAGCCGGTTTGAGCCAGCGGGAAGCACGGAGCAACCCCCAGAGTGCTGACGGCCGAGTCGGGAACGGCAGGCATGAAGGGAGGAAAAAACTTGGACAGAACAGCATCCGTGGAGGGGGTGGGCACGGGAAGGGGACTGGCGAAGGGAAAGAAGAAGCAGAGGGAGGCAATGAGCCTAGGCAGCCCAGGTGGAACGAGCAAAAGAATGACAAGGGCGGACTGCTGAGGGATATAGGAGATACGGGAGATACGGCCAGAGAAAAAAGGGGGGAAGCGCCTATAGGAGCTGCAACGGGGTGAATGGGATCAGCCGGGCTCCAGAGAAGGGAACAGGCACCCCAGGTCTGGTGGATTCGATCATTGCAGGGGATAGGAGGGCAGGATTACGTGGTCAGGCGGTGCGGGGGATGCGGCCAAAGAGGATAGGAGGGGGGAACGCCCCATCTGCTCCCAGCCCAAGCGAAAATGAGACAGGTGAAGTCACACACACAAGCAGGAAATGCAGGGCAGGAACAGCCGGTAATGTAAAAACTACCGTTGGAACGTAGCTTACACAATTAGGACCAGTGACGAGGTCCAGGGGCCATGTGCAGGCTCTACTCAACCTATAAAAGACTCTCCCATAGACTGGCTTCTTAAGCCCTGATGATGTCAGCAGTGGCTGACGAAAGCTTGGCGTCTGTAAACTTGGTATTAAACTTTTATAGTTTAAGGATTTTCCCTGGTGTTCACTTTTATTTATTTATTCTGAACATATATATATATATTCTGAAAAACCAATAAAACATATATTCGTAGATTTTCACAGGTACAGGTACACGGGAAAAGACCCGAACACGCCAAGACCTGCATATATATATATAATGTATAAAATATACACACATATATATAAATATAAGTTCCACATGTTTGCAAATATTTCAGTTAGTTACTTTTCTTCCTGTTTTTTTCCCCAGAGTCTTTTATCTCCAACTGCATTCAGCTATGCTAGCCAATATATTGCCCGTTATGAAGAGCAAGGCATTGGTATATATCTATATATACACTTTTATAAGATAAAAACATCTATTAATAACCCAAATTAAATACTGTGTGCTCATTTGCTAATGCAGGTTATTCTGTGTATTCCCTCCTCTTCTTTTTTATAGGTCTGCAGTGGGATAATATGCATGACTCACCAATGTCAGGGGACAATACTAATTTTAGCTGGATGTGCTGGTTAATTCTGATAGATTCTTTTATTTATTTCATTCTGGGATGGTACATCAGGAACGTTTTCCCAGGTATGTAATGGTGGTTATCAGGGTTTTTTTTCTCATAGAACGCCCAGAACGGAGTTTCAGCACCTTTTTGGGATGGTACCTTGTAGGGTAGGCAAGGCAGGTTGTATGACATGTGTGAGTTCCGGCACCTTTTTTTTTTTTTTTTTAGAAAAAAAGCACTGGTGGTTATTAAAAATACTGTATTTTGATGGATATTATTTGACAATTAAAAATGTAAAGTTAGGACAAATTATCCTATAACATCCATGGTATCATTATTTCTGGGAAATCACTAAAACCATCTACTGCATGACATTGTCTTTCTTCAAATGGCATGTATTTTTCACACTGATATCTATATTTGGTGATTCTGGATGTGGGAAAATATTTTAATGGAATTTAAGGTAACATCATTGTGTTACTATCGGTACTTACATACAGAATAATGATTGGTGACAATAAGAAAAAGTTTTTTGAAGCATTTCAAGAGTGACATAATTTGAGCTCTAATTTGAAGAAATAAGGCTCCTTCAAAAGTCTCTGCCTGCAGGCCACTATCTAGATTGGTTCTGGATAATCAATCCTTGTGATAGAGAATTAATATTTTTCTCATTCTGCACTAATTTATCTGAAGCCAGATCCAAATTTGTTTTGTTATACTGGCTCTTGGTTGGATTGGATTGGATTGCCCTTCAAGGATTTTATTCTTCCTTGTTCAGAGGCTGCTGAAATTATCTGGGAAAGGAGAACAAGTAGCTTAATCAACAAATGTGACTTTAATTCTTCTGTTTATTCCCAAGAATCTCAGAAAAAAAAGAGCTGTTATTCTCCATCCCACCCATCTCCTCGTGTGTAAAGACTTGTCTACAAAAATGCTATCCTGCTATTCTTTTAGCTTCAGAGATAGCACAGGCTTTTTTAAACAGAAACAGAAGGAATTAATTATTTAAGCCTGGCACTTCTTGTTGTAACGACTGCTATGCAGAAGCGTCCATAATCTCATACAGAAAAATGTTCAAGTGAATTCTGCAGCATACTGTTTCCTGCTTTATTTTCATAGATTTCATTTCATATAAATTCAGGAGTGCCTGCCTTCGATTTCACATGAGTATTTAGCAGTCAAATGTTCAGTTGAAATAATGTGGCTGTTGATTTTCTGGGAAGAGAACAGTATTCTCATACTTTGAGATGATGAAATCACACAAAACTCATCTATTATTTTCTTTAAGGGGCCTGATATTGTTGAGATAATATCAAAATGTTACTACAGAGCTTTTCAATTTCTCTCCCATTTTTGTCACTATTCTCGTTACAGGGAAATATGGGATGGCAGCTCCATGGTATTTTCCACTCCTTCCATCTTACTGGACTGAACGATATGGTTATTTTCCTTTGTTGAGTGAGAAGTTAACAGGCTATTTTTTCACCAATTTCTTCTTCAGAAAACAACCTACTTTCCCTGAAAAGATGTGTATGTTTTCTTTTCAGTATAAAGAAAATATTTTGATTGATTGGATAATGAAAAATGTATTACTGTCTTAGATGAGAGAGCAGCTAAAGTGAAATAAGTATAAACCACAAATTAATAGATAGAAGCAGTAGAAAATAATAAGTTTTAAACTTTTAAAATTTTTATTCTAATTTTTAACAAAATTATTTCAGCCCCAAGATAACAAGGCCTTATAGCTATATATCAACATTTTGCAAATGAATATGTAACTTTTGACCTCTTTGTCTCTAAATAGATATTGAATGTAAAATTTATCTGGGTGGTCTGGAAAATTTATTTAACAAAGGTTGGTTTCGCCTTTGGCAAGGATCAGGATAAAATTTCCCACAGTGACGAGCCTGTGCAATTATCTCAGTCTCCCTTCATTTATACAGGTAGAGTCTATAGGGTATAATTACCAGGTATCTGAACAGGCAAAAGAAGACACAGACAATTGGAAAGGAGGTCAAATGGGGAAAGGAGGATACTCTGACTGTTTAACTTTCTTGGCATCCACTATAAAAATCACAGTGAAAAGCTGCAATAAATGTACTTAGTACTATATGCACATGAAATTACCTTTTCCTGTATTGTGTTTTTTTCAATCACAATATCTTTCCCCAAATCTTTATTTTAAATAACTTATGCTAGTGATAATATAGAATTGACAGCATGCTTTTCATATTTTGTGACATATAGACTATAGTGATCGTAGATGTGAAGGAGCTGGATTGAATCTAATTGCTGGAGTGAAGAAATAAATAATTTATTTATTTATAAAATTTATTAGCCACCCATCTTACTCTGGGCAGCTTACAATCATAAAAAATATCTACATTAAAACATAAATAAATTAAAACCAAAGATTAAATTAAAAACATTAAATAAATCTAGGCTACTCAGTATATTGACAAATAAGGAAAAGAAAGAAGCAGACAACTTACAAGATCATAATACAGAAAAGTTTTAATGACTACTATTGTGGAAACAGTCAAACCTTTTTTTTAAAAAAAAAACCAAAACATTCAAAAAGCCAGATAGTATTTGATTTTAAGGCTATGCCTGCCACATGAAGGACAAGAGGACAAAAAGGAGAACATATCCTCCTTTTGATGGATGTCTAGTGTATACCCTCTAAAGTGGTGAAAGGAGACTTTAAGATGAACTCTAGAAAATAGCCATTGATACTTGGGATAGATCAGGTGTGTCCATATGAGCCTTTGAGTGAGTTTTTTGACTGGTTGAGTTCCTGCAGTTTTTTTGGCAAGATTTCAGTAGGTTGCCATTACCTCCTTCCTAGGGCTGAGAGAGAGTGATTGGCCTAAGATCACCTAGCTGGCTTTGTGCCTAAGGCAGGACTAGAACTCATAGTCTTCCCTTTTTTAGCCTGGTGTGTTAACCACTACATCAAACTGGTTCTCTTGGGAGAGATGAATGGAAATAAATAGGCTATTAGATTCCCAGTCTTTGACATTTAGCTTAAGTTATTTTGTGACTCTGTAGGCCAGATCCGGTTTGTGCCCTGTCTAGACCTAATAATAGTAATTTGATAAGAAGATGTGGGGGAACTGATTAATTTACTATAGAACAGCCTTCTTTGACAATGCATGATTTTTTGGACGATGGGGTTAGCAATCTTGCTTTTAAAAAAGGAAAGAGATTTATTACAACTCAAAATATTTAAAGCATGAGGAGATGGAAGAATAAACTTTAAGGGCAAATTAAAAGTCTTATTCTACAAAACAGTTTGTATTTAACATAAGATTATTTATATTTGTACATTATTCTACTTCACAAATACATTGACTAATCTCATCAGGAAATGTAAAAGTCAATTTAAATCTGAATTCTGGTTGGGGGAGAAGACATCCTCACAGATATTTGGAAAATCAATTGTTTACATTTAAACTTTTATATGTAACCATATCTTTCTATGATTAAAATACTTTAATTTGCTGTTAAATGTGATGCTTATTAAAGCCAGAGTTATCCTAGTATTCATATTAATTTATTTAAAACATCTACATACAGTCTGTTGATTATGTAACAAGGCTTTTGTGCACTAACATTTAGTAAAGGACCAAGAAAAAAGATTTAGGGTAATATATTTTTTATTAGAATGAAAAGAAAGAGAAAAGAACAGGTGACAGGACAAAAATTAAAAATTCAGCAGTCTGTGAGGGTAACTCTTCTTTTGTTTTGAGTTTGCTACACAGAATTTCCGTGTTCAGAATCTGGCAGGCAGGCAGGCAGGAAAAAGGCACAGCAGACGCAAAACAAGACTATGAACTTTTCAACTTGAATTTATCAAAGAAAAGCTGGAATCAAAAGCAAGAATCAAAAGACATGATTCTAATTTCAAACATGGTTCAATCTACACACATTTTATAAAAATTGGGTTGGGGGGGGGAGGAAATGACAACAGGTAGGGAAAGGTGAGTTAAAATGTTGTCATTAGAACCATGGCTCTCATTTGGACATATTTAACTGCAGGAAAGCTTGCACTGTACTAAATCAACATAAACTATTTCAGTTCAGTTCATCAGATATTGAGAAACGTGCACAGTATATATACAGTTTCTTGCACTTTCAAAGTATCTGTGAAATCTGACAAGACATTTTTCAACTAGAGTCCATGAACTGACTTAAGTAGCAGAAAGAGATGTGGACAGGGGGAACATGCTATAGGGTTCTTTATAAATTTGGCATCTTCTTTTTTAGATGTTCACAGTGCTTTACCCTCTAACATTGAACCTGAACCCACTCACCTTAAAGTGGGAGTTTGTCTCCAAGGAATAACAAAGATTTATGAATCCAAAGCTGCTGTTCAGAATCTCAATCTGAATTTTTATGAAGGAAATATCACCTCATTGCTGGGTCATAATGGAGCTGGAAAAACTACCACAATGTAAGTTCTCTTAGAAGAAAAATGTCTGAGAATGATTAACAAATTTTTTTGATATAACACTAATGTAATGTTTCTTGAGTCCTGTTATCTGCCAGCTTGGGAACCAGTACATTTCCTGGATCAGAAGATCTTTTTCTTTTCAGAGCTGGGTTAAGAATGGTGGGAAGCAATTGTTTTCCCCCTTTATTTCTGAATTCTGTAACCTAATGGTTCCAGTCTACAATCATCTGATGAAAACTAATTGAAGCTTTTGGTTTTATTTCTGGACTTCCTCATTTCTTCCCTCATTCCTAGAGTGCCATTTTGAATGAATGTTTTGGTATCGATTGTATTTCAGTCTTTTCTGACTCCAAGGCTGGATAGAACAGCTTTCCAATTTGCTAGGGGCAAAAGTGCCCTATTCCACTAGAATAGGCTACATTCCAGGTAGCCAGATTACATATCCCAGTCCCAGTGTTCGGCTCTCATGCTGTCATTGGCAGTGAGTGATTTCTGATTGCAAAGAATGAATGGCAGTCTCAGCTTTACCCTCATCCAACTTAAAATTAGTCTGCTTTTTCCACCTTTCAGTTTTTATACCATAGTAACTACTAAACGTCTATTGAATAAAATATTGATAATTTTTCTCAACTTTTCTTCTCTTTTCCCCACATAGATCTATACTGACAGGTTTGTTTCCTGCTTCATCTGGCACTATATTTGTTTATGGCAAAGATACCAGAACTGACCAAGATTTCATCAGGAAAAATATGGGAATTTGCATGCAGCACAATGTATTATTTGATTACCTCACCACAAAGGAGCACCTGCTTTTATATGGCTATATCAAGGTGCCCCATTGGAGCAAAGAAGAGTTACAGGAAGAAATAGACCGGTATGTCATAGTATTTTTAACAGCATAAAACAGTCTTCCTTTTATGTTTGTTAGATATTTCTCCTTTTCCTTTTGCAAAAATTGTGTAATAGTGTAATTATTTAGTAGCACTAACATCACTCTCGTGGAAAATAAATTTGTGGAAAATGCTTATATATATACATACTTGTCATGCTAAGACCTTTTGGGATAAGCAGTAGTATGAAAAACAGTGTGCTTATCCCAAAAAGGTTTAGCATGACAGATACAGTACTGTATGTATGTATATATGTAAATAAGCATTTTCCTCAAATTCAGTCCTTGATGTTATTTATTTATTTAGATGAAGGAACAGTGAATGTGTTGAAAGGAAATGAAGTTTTATTGTATAAGATTTCTTATTTCTTATAAAGAGAAGAAAACAAAGGAATAAGAAGAAAATAAAATAAAAATAAGTCTAGTCCACACTAACAACATTCACTATACAGTATCTCTCTACATCTTTCATTTCTGCAAACCATTCTTATTTTTACTATCTCCAGGAACAACTTCATATATTCCTTTTTATTCTTTAATCTAATCTTTCTCTTTTTAAGGATCTCATCAATTCTATTGTCTCACAACTTTCTCACAAGTATCAGTCTTCGTTTCCTTTCAACACATTCACTGTTTCTTCATATATTTGTTTTGCTGTTCAGATCTCATTCAGTCTTTTCGTATGACCAAAATCAACATATACCTTCTGTACAGGTCATTCCATTTTTTCTTTCAAACCCCATTCATTTGTTTACTTTCTCTACATATTATACAATATGTTTTTCTTATCCTCATTTCTTGTTGCCTATTTGTCTAACCCAGCCTTAACAAATTCTGATTTTCAGTCCCAGAATCAATCATTTTATTACTACAGCCATAGGCCAATACATAAAATTAAACATTCAAATAAAACAGAACTAAACAGAACCAAACACAAGAAGGCATAGCAATATATTACAATTAATGATGTAATCAATGAGTGTCCAAAGTCTGCCTAGTTTTACAAACAGTATAACAAAACCTATCTACCTTCAGAGAGATTGAGTCATACTGACCTGACAATAAAAATACATTGAGTATGGTCTAATACTGAATAAAACACGTAATAAAATTAATTATAAAAGATTATTAAAAAGATCTAAAATATTTATTTATGTTTCTGGCGAATCCCCAGTGCTGCTGCGCAGAATCTAGCCACCTGTGCTGTGATCACTGCCAGTTTATCCTTAAGCAGCCACTGTAGATAAATACTTTCCGTACAACCAGGGTACCTATCGATTATGGAGAGGATATGGTTTTTCCGAATAGCTCTATAGAAGGAACATTGAAAGAGTATGTGTCCAATGGTCTTCATCTCTCCTGAGCCACAATGGTGTCTTTTTATGCTTGCCGTACAGGACAGCCGATGGAAACGCATGGCACCTTGCGAGCAAAAATGCTTTCCGGTGGTTTACTGACTCCAACTGACTAAGATAACAGGCAGGTGTAACAACATATCTAATAGAGTCTGGAGCCAGAAACAGCAGAGCTAAACTTAAGTCCTCTTGCCTTTTGATGTCCTCTACCCTTTGTCGCAAAATTTGTTTTGCTTGGTCGTAGTCCAATTTGACTTTTGAGGCTGAAGAGAAGACTAGTTTGGCAAGACAGTCCCAGAATTTCCCCATTAGCATGGCCATTGATGATAATCCACAAGGTCCACACATCCAGAAGTTCCCAAGGCTTGGAAATTTTTCAAGATTGCTTTAATATTTTTTTTCTATCATGCTAGTTATTACATCCCATTTTTCACTCAGATTTGATAAGCAATGTCTTCACTCCATATTCAAGACAATAATTAATATATTGAGGAGGAAAGTTTGCAGCTCCCCTTTATCTTTAATCACCTACAATCAGCATATGATATTCTAAGAAGTAACAACAGAAGTAGAACAGCCTATTCTTACAAGGAATATATTTCAAACCACTAACATTTCTGCTCTGTTGACCAAAATCTAGCTTATAGTTAGTTGAGAAACACTTGATGGAAGATTTAAAAGTTCTGATATCGTGATGCTAGCATTTGTCCACTGCACAGGTGGGCATTGAAATCCTTTATTGCTGCCATTTTTTAGCAATGTGTCTTAATGAAATACTTAATAGTACTTGGCTGATTCTCACTCAAAACCAGCAGGATGCTAAATTATGCATAATATTTTCCACTTCTTCTGTGACCGAGGAGTTTTATGCTGAAACTAAGATATATCATTAAAAGGAGGTTGTAATAAACAAAGGAAAGTGCTTGTAGTTTAAGGTTTATTCAGGAGCTCTGTTTTGCTTTAAAACTACTTGTTTCTCCATGTTATAATACTTTGTTACAACTGAATCATGTGGTGCCTCATGCAAGCCCCCCTCTCTGATTTTAAAGAATCATAGAATGTTCAAAATGGAAGAAATATTGAAGATAGAATAGAATAGAGCTGGAAGGGACCTTGGAGGCCTTCTAGTCCAGCTAGATCATCTAGTTCAACCTCCTGCACAGTCCTACAGCATCCTGACAAGTGCCTGTTCAACTTTTGTTCAAACATCTCCAGGGAAGGAGAGAGAGTTAAAATCCCCCTGTGAGCAAGTAAACTGTGAATGTAATATGTCAATGTAATATGTCTCAGTCATCCAGGTCATGGTTGTCCCAAAGGTGCTTTTTCAAGAGGCAACTGGACTTTCTTGTTAACAAAACAGTTGCCTCTTGAAAAAGCACCTTTGTGAATGTAATATCTTTGTTGAATCATTGAACTCTACTATTAGAGTTCTACTACTAGAACTCTACTATTAGGACACTATTTCCTTCAACCAAAATCCATGTTCTTATAATTTAAACTAATTGTTTCTTTTTCTAATTTTTTAAATTAAAATGTTATCATTCTTTCTTCTACTTATTTACAAAATAATGTTCTTTCTGGGTGCTGTTTTGAAGGATTTTAAAGGAAACTGGATTATACAACCATCGTCACAAGTTGACTGGCTCTTTATCAGGAGGGATGAAAAGGAAGCTATCAATTTCAATTGCTCTACTGGGAGGTTCGAAGGTTGTAATTTTGGATGAACCAACCACTGGAGTTGATCCCTGCTCTAGGAGAGGCATTTGGGAAATCATATCAAAGAACAGAAAAGGTAATATGGGCAGGTATACTGTCATTCTAGCTTTTCAGAGCAACAAGTATTACTATAATATAAACAGAATAACAAGATAAGCTTGAATGGCTATTAAAAATATAGTCACAGTTATGGAACCATAAACGTGCATTAAAGAAAAGCTTTCAAATGTTAAGCTTTCACTTTGATAAGAGGAGCGACCTCTGCAGTTGCCCTCCTGCAAAAGGGCAGTCAGAAAAGCTAAGAGCACCTGCAGACTTTGCCTCTTCTTGCTCCATGAGATGCAGATGCCTGGCTGGGCTCTAGCAGGAGAGGCATCATCACAGAAAAGGCCAGCTTTAGCCAAGCACCAGGAGCTCTTTGTCTTGGGGGAAAAGATCACCTACCTCCATGGATGGAGAACCAGCAGCTCATGGTTCTCAATTACTATAATGAGGCTGATGAATTGACTTGTAGGTATATAATGAAATGTGCTGAAGATCTCAAATTGGGATTTCTGATAACCAGTCTCCAGCCTTACTGAATTGTTCTAAGAAAAGAAAGAAAACCGGATTAAACAGCCATTGTCATATGCTGACTGGCTCTTCCCCAAGAGAGAAGAAAGAAAACTATCAGTGGTTATTTCATTACTCCCATTGGTTTCAAGGAGAGGTACAATCCTTTTCTGGCTTCTGCACCCAATGAGCTCCTGAGCCCAAGCAATTCATTTTTCACTTGGCAATTTTTCTGCTGATACAAGAATCTGTATGGAAATTGTAGTGTAATTACTCCTTTTATACGTTCTTTTCAGGCAGAACGATCATCCTTTCTACACATCACTTGGATGAAGCAGAGGTTTTAAGTGACAGGATTGCATTCTTGGAACATGGAGGTCTCAAGTGCTGTGGGTCCCCATTCTACCTTAAGGAAACTTATGGTACTGGATACCACCTGACACTTACTAAAGAAAAGGTTTGGAGCAATAATTACTCTCAAGTTTTAATAATTCTAGTAAAGTAGGAAATTCTAATAGTGCTCAGAAGCAAAGTAACCTCTGGTGAAAAAAAGTATCTTAATGAAAGTGATACTGAAAATGGCTTTAATCAATTTATAGGTTTCATCGACAGACAAGATGAAATCCAGAGACAGAGAGTATAAACATTGCTCTTCATGGTATTCTATAAATTTTTGAACAAGTGTTCCAGAGTTGAGGAGCATGTAGAATGTTGTGACATTCTCCTAGCCATCAGTAGAGATTGATTTAATAATTTAGGACAGGACCCATGCTGGCTAATATTATTTTAAATACAAGATTATAGATATAGTACAGTAATTATAAATATTGCCAGTTGATGGATTTCTTGACTTGATTGCTTACCATCATCTTTGCTTCTCAAAGAAAAGAAAATTGCTCCTCTAGAAATAGTTGTTTGTTCATATTGAGTTTCATTCAGAGTACGACAAGACACTAACTTTTAAGGTTAATTTTTAAAAACAGATTTTCTTGAGTGTATAGGCAAAAAGGTGTGTTTTAATATCTGTTTTTAAGTTGGTTAAAGTTCAAAGTTTGTGTTGCTTTGGAATTTAATAGTCAAGACTGTTTACATGGTTCATAGCACTTCAATTAATCAAACAGAATAGAGCTGGAAGGGACCTTTGGAGGTCTTCTAATCCAACTCTCTGCCCAAGCAGGAGACCCTATACCATTTCAGACAGGTGGTTGTCCAGTGATGAAGCACCTACAGCTTTTGAAGGCAGAAGGTAAAAGCTTCTAAAGCTGTTCCACTGGTTAATTGTTCTCATTGTTAGGAAGTTTCTCCTTAATTCCAGGTTGCTTTATTCCTTGATTAATTTCCATCAATTATTTCTTGTCTTGCGTCTGGTGCTTTGGAAAATAAGTTGACCCCTCTTCTTTGTGGCAGCCCGTCAAATAATTGGAATACTGCTAACATGTCACCCCAGTCCTTTTTTTCTCTAAACTAGCCATACGCAATTCCTGCAACCATTTAAGTGATTGTCCACTAGGACTCCAAGGTTCCTCTCACAATTACTGTTTTTGAGCCAGGTTTCTCCTAATCTATACTTGCATCTTTGGTTTCTCCTGCCTAGGTGTAAAACCTTGCTTTTCTTCACATTAAATTTCATGTTGTTGGTTAAGGCCCATTGTTCAAGTCTGTCAAGATATTTTTGGATCCTGAGCTTGTCTTCTGGGGTGTTGGCTATTCCCGCCAGCTTAGTGTCATCTGCAAATTTGATGAGTTCCCTTTTTATTCCCTCATCTAAGTCATTTATGAAGATATTGAAGAGTACTGGGCCTAAGACAGAACCTTGTGGTAGCCCACTGCTTACTTCTCTCCATGTAGACCTAGTACCATTAAGGACTACTTGTAAAATATGGTTTGCTATGGAGTTACAAATCCATCTGGTGATGATGCTGTCTATCCCACATTTTTCTAGCTTACCAAGAAGTAGATTGTTGTCTACTTTGTTGAATGCCTTATATATAGTCTAAGTATACTATGTCCACAATATTTCACTGGTCTACTAATTTAGTCACTTTGTCAAAGAATGAAATAATATTGATTTGGCCAGGTATTCTTTAATTGTGCAATCCACTCCTTTAATGAAGGGATTGCAGGTTCTGCAGAGGAAAGCTCCGGCATTGGGTTAAAACTTTGTCCCGTGGCTACTTGGAACGGAGTATAGTCCATGCCGGAATGAACAGCGTTGTTGTAGGCGACTTTGGTGAATGGAAGCAGGTTGGTCCAGTTGTTCTGCTGGTAATTAATGAAGCATCTTAAATATTGTTCCAGTACTGAGTTCGACCGTTCAGTCCCACCATTCATTTGCGGATGATGACTAGATGATAGGCCTGGGGTGGTCCCTAACAAGGTTAGGAATTCTTTCCAGAACTCCGATGTGAATTGCACTCCTCTATCAGATATAATGCGCTGTGGGGCTCCATGTAATCAATATATGTGCTGAACAAACAATTTTGCAAGTGTTTTTGCAGTAGGAATCTTTGGGCAGGGGACAAAATGCACTTGTTTGGAAAATAAGTCCATTACAACCCAAATTACTGTGTTTCTGCTGCTCTCTGGTAGTTCCACTATAAAGTCCATGGAGATCTCCTTCCAAGGTGCTGAGGGGGTTGCTACCAGCTGCAGAAACCCAGGTGACTTCCCTTGCAATCTTTTTGCTGAGGCACAAATTGGGCAGCTAGCCACGTAGCTTTCAATGTCCTTCTTTATTGATGGCCAGCAAAATTGCCTTTTAACCAGTTGTAGTATTTTCACAAGCCCAAAATGGCCTGCAGAGCCCACTCTAGCACTGCTCAAACTTTCTCAGGGTCCATTTCTATGCCATCTGGGTATATGCAGTATCCCAGATAGTCAATTTTATCCTAATGGAATTCACACTTAGAGAGTTTTGCATAAAGTGAGCTGCCCATAGTTTCTTTAGGACTGCTCTGACCACTTTGACATGCTCGTCTATAGTCTAAGTGAATATAAGGATGTCATCCAGGTAAATGAGTACCCCCTTGTACAGGTGCTTCCTTAGCATGTCATTTATCAATTGCATGATTACAGCAGGGGCTCCTTACAATTCAAAAGGTAGAAGCCAGAATTGGTAACACCCCAAGGGGCAATTGAATGCTGTCTTCTGTTCGTCCCCTTCCTTTATTTTGATTGGTAGTAAGCTTCCCTTAAGTCCAGTTTGGTGAAAATCTTCCCCTTCGAAAGTTGGGATAACATGTCTTTCATGAGGTGGAGAGGGTATAGATTGCTTTCGCTTATTGTATTTAAAGCCCTATAATCAACCAGAGGCGAAGAGTCCTATCCTTCTTCTCTCGAAACAGTACAGGGGTGGCAGTTTTCGGCTTTGCCGGCTGAATGAACCCCCTTTCTAAATTTTTATGTATGAATTTCTGCATTTCCTCCAATTCTTGCGGGCTCATGGAGTACAATCTAGACTTGGGAAGTTTCACGCCCGGTCTGATCTCTATCACACAGTCCGTAGGCCGATGAGGCAGCAATTCATCAGACCTTTCCTCGCTGAATACTTCAGCCAGGTCTCTATACTCCTCTGATATTTCAGGTAGTTCCTTTTCTCCCCCTACTGCGGCTTTCTCGGCCAGGGCCTCCCTTGGTGGGGGCTGGGCTGGTGCCTTGGTCGACTCCCTTTTCGGGAATCTAAGCTCTGCCGTCCTCCAATCCACCTGTGGGTTCCACTTGGCCAGCCACGCCATGCCCAGAATTATGGGGCATTCCATGCCAGGGGTTACCACAAATGTTATAGTCTCTACGTGGTCCCCCAGGGTGTTGAACTGGTAGCGTTGCTAGGGTGACGGGCATCCCCCCTGCTATGTACCCATCTAATTGACCAAATGAGTTCAGTTTTTTTCAGCCTCCTCACTAGAATTCCTAAATTCCCCACTAATGGGCTTATAAGGTAGCAGGTGTAACCAGAGTCAATTAATGCCCTGACTTCTACGGCTTCAGGCATGCCAGGGTCTAACAACTTTAGTGTCCTGGTGAGGGGTGCAATGGGTCTACTTACCAGAGGTTCGTCCTCGGAGTTGTCATCGGATAAGTGGGACGTCCCACCAGTGTAGGCCAGAGTTCCCTTTCCTGAGGCAGGGACTTTGACGGCCTCCGTGCCTTTCATGGCCGTCTTCTTAGGCTTTGCTGGTGGTTTTCTGGGCTTCCCAGCCGGGGTCCAGTCAGATTTTCCAGTTGGGGTGCGAGAGCGGCATTCGGCAGTGCGGTGCCCCTCTTTCCTGCATTTGAAACATCCTGTGGTTCTTTTGGTGGACAATGACTGCTTTGTGGCTCGCGGGCCGGCTCCAATGGTGACTTCCCCCACGATCTTCCCCCTCTGCATTGCCTTTTCGTCAGGTAAATCTCGGTTTCCTCAGCTAGTATGTAGCAGTCTTGCAGTCAATGAGGGTTGTAGAGGTCGTAATTCAATCCATCTTTGAAATGGCTGAGTAGGATGTCCTCTGGCCAATTCAGCTTGCTGGCCAGGGTCCGGAATTCCTGAGTGTATTCTGCCACTGGTCGTCTGCCCTGTTTCACCATCTTTATCCACTCCTAGGCTTTCCAGTTGGCTAAGGGGTCCTCGAACTGCTGTCTGAGGGAGACCATAAATTGATTGAAATTCAGCAGCTACGGGGCGTCTGTATCATGGAGGCAATGCCATCCAGGGCTGCTTGTACAATGCGAATTCTGGCTTGGTTGGTTGAGGTGTCCCGGCCATACTCCTCATATAGTTTAGCACCTGGGTTAAGAAAAATCCCAAGTGCCATGGCTCCCCATGGAACTTCACATCTAGCAGTGGGAACTTCTGGATGGATCGGTGTCATTTTTTCTGCTTGTGTCGCCTCCCTTCTCTGTTCGTAGTTTCCACACAACGGGGGGTGGCTGCAGCAGCAGTGACTGCAGCAGTCTCGATGGTTCCCTTAGAAGGATCCGGAACCTCAGATTCAGTTTCCCCTTTGTTGGCTCTCCTGGCAGATCCTAGATGGATGGTACCCCGGTAGAGTTCAGCTTTTTCCTCCTTCATGAAGTCGAGGGCTATTTTCATTATTCCAATTGCCTGTTCCATCAATCGGCTGGAGTGCCCTGGGCGATCATCTTCATCCTCGCTGAGACAGAGAGACCTTTCCATCACCTCCTCCCAGCCTGGCTAATGACTGCCCCCTCTGAGCGTCACCTTTCTGGCCTTCTTTTCCCAGTCTTCCATCCTTCCAACGCCCATTGACCACTTGGGCTTGTGGTGGCGTTCTGTCACCACCTCTTCTTCCGAGGAGCTTGAGGATCCAGAGCTGGAGTATTTGCAGAAGTCTGCTCGGCAGGAGGATTCCCCCCCCATGGCAGGTTCCTCTCTTTCTATTCCATTGTCTGACATGTTTTGCCAAGTCCCTGGTAAGGGCTTTCCTTCTGGCTGACTATTACTGCAGATCCTGTCTA